TTTGCCTCAGACACCATCTCGTTATCTCTTATCAGTTCCGTGAAAAAATTATAAGGAAAAAAACGCGTTTTTTCGCAGTTTTTTGCGTTTTCTCGCGTAATTGATAAGAGATAACGGAATAATGAATCGGAATAATTGTAGGACTCGACCAGAACTACAACTTTGCCTCAGACACCATCTCGTTATCTCTTATCAGTTCCGTGAAAAATGATAAGGAAAAAACGCGTTTTTTCGCGGTTTTCTTCGGTTTCTCGCGTATTCCGCGAAACTTATAAGAGATAACGACTTGGTATCTTCGGCAAAGTTGTAGAACAGCTTGAGTACTATAACTTTGTCATAGACATCAAGTCGATATCTCTTATCATAGCCCAGTTGTGTACTGAAGAAATAGTAGGGTCAATCTGACCCAGATTCACGTATAGAGCATGTGTGTGTTTTAGCGGCACATGTCACGCATACGTCGCATATCCGCCGTATACACATGATTTTGTAGAAAGAGGAAAGTCCAATGAACACATACATATCCATATTTCGTCATAATTGTTATATTTGGCTGTGCTATGAATGTTCAAAGTTTTGTCTGGGTCAATTTGACGCAGTTCACGGTGTAAAGGTTAAACAAGAGATGGTCACGGCCGTTGAGGAGGTACAAAAGACGGGTGAAATTATGCGAACAGCAGCTCGTGAATTTTCGGAAGATCCATGTAGTTCATTGCGACGCGGAAATATGGTTCGAACCGCACGTAATCTTCTATCAGCTGTAACGCGTTTGCTCGTTTTGACCGATATGGTCGATGTGCATCTAATGTTGAAATCATTGCATGTGGTTCAAGATGATTTGAACAAGCTACGAAATGCATCCAGCCAAGATGAGCTCTTGAATAATATGCGAGTGAGTTAATGTTTACTACTGCCCTCCCAATTTTAATGTAGATATTCATTTTTTCTGGATATATTTGCTTCTATTTGGTGGAAATTATTCGATTTACTGTTTCCGATCGCTTTAGTAATTTGGACGAAATGCCAACGAATTGATAAAACAAGCAGCAAAACGACAACAAGAACTTAAGGGTCCGCAATTGCGTGACAATTTGGCCGCTGCACGTGCCGTTTTAAAGAAGCACGACCATGCTGTTGACAGCATCAAAGGTCTACGTTCGTCACCTGGAATTGGATTTGGCCAAAATTAATTGTGATCAAGTGTTGAGACAAGTGTGCGAAGCCGTTAACACAATCAGTGACGTTGCACAGGGCAAATCAAGTGCACCAATCGATATGTACAGCGGTGCTGGTGAGCTCGCCGCTGCTGTGGACGACTTTGATGTAAGTCATACTTGAAAGGTCGAATATTCAGGCAGGTTTTTTTCTAATAAATTGAACTGGTTTTGAAATTGCAGGAGGGTATCAATATGGATCCATTGGCATACAATGAAGTGTGCTCTCGTCCAACGCTCGAAAAGCGATTGGAAAGCATCATCAGTGCAGCCGCAATGATGGCCGACGCAGATTGCACTCGAGATGAGCGTCGTGAACGAATTGTTGCTGAATGTAATGCTGTACACCAGGCTTTGCAAGATCTTTTGTCGGCATACGTGTCGAACGTAAGTTTTGTTTACTTTGTCGAAAGTAGTATGTTATATAGAAAACAAATCAAGTTGATGATTTGCCCAAAACTCATCTTCTCATATGCATTTTGGTTCATTTCTAGATGGGTCAAAAGGAGAAGAGCTCAACTTTGGATATGGCCATCAATCAAATGTGCCAAAAGCGGTCGTTGATCACGTCTCTGATTCATTCTTAGAGACGACAACCCCATTGTTTGATTTGATTGAAGCCGCCAAGGACGGAAACAAAGGTTGAAGAGCGAGGAGCTTCGCAACATGGCTGGAGCCATTCAAGGCCGTTCTCAACGTTTTTGCAACGTTGTTGAAGCTGAAATGGACAATTATGAACCATGCATCTACACGAAACGAGTTCTTGAAGCCGTCAAAGTTTAGCGCGAACAAGGTAGAAGATTCGATCCATTTTTTATTTGTTTTGAAAATCAAAATCTCTTGAGCAGTTTTGAAAAAGAATTCAGTGTGACTTCAGCATGGATTTTTGATTCATTGTTTGCTTTATTTTCAATTTTTCATGCAGTTATCGAAGTTTGCTCAGCGCGTTGACATCGCAGTCGATGCTCTGTCCTCAAACCCACCGAAAGATGTAGATGACAACGATTTCATCTATGCATGGCGCTTGGTCTATGATGGTGTCCGTGAGATTCGACGAGCTGTTCTAATGAATCGGGTAAGAATTTTTCATTCAGTTAGCATTGTTGCCTCCATTTTCATTTTCACCTGTGATTGGTTTCTGATATAACCAATGGTTTGTTAATTTAAATTGCGATTGCAAACAAAAGGAAAAAGAAGAGTTAGATCCAGAAGATGTTGAACTCGATGAACATTATGATATTGAAACCAGAAGCAATTGTAAGCTTAAGAATATGCTCACTGACATGTTTTTTTTTTCGTTTTGTCCCAAGTCAAAATATTTTGGTGATTTTTTATGACTTTTTGACTGATTTTATTGGGTGACTTCGTTGATTTTTTGACTGATTTCCTTGATTTGATTTCTCTAATTTTTTGACTGACTTCCTACGTTCGATTTCTTTGACTTTGATGATTGACTTCCTTGAAAACCAAAAACCGCCCTTACATTCGCCACATCCTCTTCTGTCTTTCGCCAACAAACACAAAAAACGACCACATTTTAACACCTCAACTAACCCGACGCTTAGCGCGAATTTTCATTTTTTATAGCTACGCACTTTTTTTTAAAGTCAATCATCAAAGTCAAAGAAATCAAACCAAAAAAGTCAGTCAATAAGTCATAAAAATCAATCATTAAAAACTGTGTCAATAGCTGTGAAACGGTCAATGGTTCTTGATTTGTGTTGGTTGAATTTTGATTATTCTGCACCGCTGTCGGTTGCATGTTTGCCATTTGAAACTATGAGTGCTGCCACACAACCTGCTTTGCTACCAGTCACTGAACCGATAATTAATTGTGTTGTTTTTTTTTTTTTTTTTTATATTTTGTGTTCGTCGCTTTGTCCGTTTGTGCCTGTGCAATTTGTGTGTGTTTTGACTATTTTGATTATTTTGATGACTTTGCTTGGATTTTGTTTGTGCTTTTCGTTTGGTCATTCAACCGATAGAATTCGGAAGATTTGGATACCGACACCGAATTCGAACCGGTTGAAGATCAAACAATGGAGACTCGTAGCCGATGTAATTTATCTATTTTTTTATTATTATTTTATATCAATACAGAGTTAGGTTTTCATTTGAATTTTTTTTCTACTTCAAAAGTAATTTTTTTAGTGTTTGACAATGATTTTAATTTAATAACCCATCTAACAATTATCAACCCAAATACATCCCATTCCAGGCACATTTCCAAGGTTGAATACGGGGATAGATTTAACCGTAGAAGTAACCGTCATAGTGATCCAATTGTGCATGGAATGAATGGAGAAAAAATTGCATAAAATTAACATCAATACATTCAATACTCTTATTTCAATTGAAAAACAAATCATTTACTTACATACATGGGTACTTCTGGCCTCCTTAGTTAAGTATGTACGCCTACTATACCACAACAATCGGGCATAGCAGAAATAACATAATGTTATATTTTAATTTTTGAATTATTCAATGTGAATGGCGTGAACGACGATGCATGATGCTGGTTAGTTGTTGACAACAGCTCGCTGGTTGGATGGCCACTACAATGTTTCGGATAACATGTACCCAAACAAGTCACAGTGTCCTTGAAAATCATACAAGAAAACAATGAATGATGTGTAAATAAAGCACTGCACCTAACATGCAATTCAATCAATATATTATAATATATTGATAATTGTGAGCACTTACCTTTGATCAGGATACATTTTGCAGCGGCTATGTCACGATGCCATTTCGTCTTGTGTACTCGTGGCTCGACAAATTCCATCTCACCGGCTGAATTGAATTTCACGTATTCCAAATTTCCAAGCCCATTTACTCGCCATGTTTTGTGGTAGATTGTCACTTTTGGGAGTAAATCTGGGTTTAGTTGATCTGGATGTGGGACATCATTGCCAACCGCTGGATTTCCGTTGCCCTCTTCCGCTTCTTTCTCGAGAAAAACAGTTTCAGCTTCTCTTGCTTCATCTTTCGTTTGTTTCACACGTTCATTGATGGCAGCATTGCATCTTCATCCGGTCGACAATCATGGCAGACTTTGAACAGATGTTGTTTCGTGCGTCGATCAAAACGGCCAAAGCACTTGGCGCATGTTAGTGAAGTTTAATACTCGTCGACCATATTAACCACACAACCAGGACACTTTTTGTAGCTTCGTATCATTCGTGAACTGGGCGACATTTGAGCAGCTCCGAAATGCATGAGTGATGGCTGATGGTTGGTCAACATTCCGGCTATGCTATCGGTCACACTGTTTGCTCGAACGTACTTGTCAAAATTCAGTCTCGTGTATTTGTCTGTCGTATACACGGCAATGCCACGTTCCGTCATTTTGAGTCGATGACGAATGTAGTCCTTCCAGTGCCTACCCAATGGCGATGGCATCACCGGATAGAGCGCACGATGTGTGAAAAAATATACCTATTTCCATGTTGTAGCTTGTTCTTTTACCTAACTTTTATAGAAAAACATTTTTTATTTTGACCATCGGAAAAGTTAGTTATGGCCCTCGGCGCGGAAGTCCATTTTTTTGGATTTTCAAAAATGGTGGGGTAAATCGCCGCACCCCATGGTATAAATCGCCGCACCCCATTGTATAAATCGCCGCAGCTGTATTTTCAGTGCGTTTTATAAGTTTATCTTTGAGAAATTGTTTATTTTATGATTTAATTATCTTCAGACATTCGAATATAAACAATTTCAACCATTGGTTGACTGATTTGAACGTTTCATGCCTCTCAAAAAATAAAAGAAAACTAGTACCCAAAAGTGATGAAACGTACCCATTAAATGTTAACAATTTTGAACGTATATCAGTCAAAATTGGGTATTTTTGAGATCTGAAACTTTCTGTCGATAGGAATAGTGCCCATTTACATTGTTCCATTCACAGATATGAGTTATAAGCAGTTTTGAGTGGTTTATTTATCGGTTTATTCAAAAAAAATACCATTTCTAGGGTCATCAGTCTGAGGCTCATGTTGCAGCATGGAAATATCAAAATCAATCCGAGGCTTTGCCTCAACATGCCAAAACTTCTGCCGTTTTCGGATCTTAATTATCTTGACAATTGTTTGAGTTATGCCGCGCACAAGAAATGCGAACGCAGACTCGGATGACGCCATAAGCACATCACAGTTTTGGACACAACTCCGTCGAAAAATAATATTTTTGAGATCTGAAACTTTTGATTGACCGGTATAGAGTCCATCTACATTGCCACATTCACAGATATGAGTTTTGAGTGACCAATTAGCGGTAAAACGCAAAAATGAGGTGCGGCGATTTACCCCATATGTTTGTGCGGCGATTTACCCCACCGTCACTATTTCTGTTTGAAGCTCGATTTAACCACAAATATTAAAAAATTCCAAAACAAATTCATATCCATAAGAAAGAGCTGGTGATAAGCTACAAAATACATCAACCCATTTTTAAATAATATTAAATTTTAATGGTCAAAGCTGAAATTCTGTGGACCCGAAAAATGAACTCAGCACTAGTGCAAAACATGTTTGTGCCTGTACAGAGCCTGTACTCAAATGAAAAATATCGAATTATATATCCAAATATCGGGAATTAATTGCTTTTCAAAATGACACCAGAACTTTTTGTATATGTATTGCCGTTTTCGAGAAAAGGCCGGTGCGGCGGTTTACCTTACGCGGCGATTTGCCCCACTTTACCCTTTTGTTTACCTCTTTGCCAGTTTCGATGTTATGTACCGTTGTTGCGTTCCACGTATTCACACCCGGATCAGTTCCACCTTCATTGACAAAATTTTTGTAGTTTTTAGCATTTTGGTCAAAATAAGCAAAATTGCCAACATAACCTCAAAAAAAGTCACGAAATGACCATTTTTCGTGGGAATTTTTGAAAAAGTTCCAAATATTTTCACGAAAATTGGATTGAACACAATAAAATCGTGATGTTTCACCTAGTTTCGAAATTACATCCGCCTGTATATTTAAACTCGCGATTTTAAAGACCATCACTACCAAAGAGAACGAAAAAAAACATTTTGCAAATTAATCACTGATTTTCTGATTTCTTTAATCCTCGACAATTTGAAGCATCAACGACCACATCAACAACGTGAATGTTCGCGTGCAGCTCCGACGGCAACATCCACAAGCTCTTCCATTACCATCACACAAGAGTTTGATCCGAATCATATTTACTAACCGTTTGACCACACGGTTTTGCTCATTTCGATGTCAAGTGAATCGAACTCATTCGGATTTGAATTTCGGATCGAAGAAAATGTCATTAAAAATTACGGAACATTTGAGACAGGAGAAAGAACTTTTTTTAATAAACCAAGCAACGAAGCAAACCTTTATTTGTCAAATGATAATTGAATACGATGATGATATTCAACTGCCCAATATAATCAATACAACGACGAAAAATACCAAAACTGTATAGAACCAAAAAAAAATTTCAAATAAAACCGAGGGAGATCGGTGTGAGTTGACCATCTATGGATTTGTAATTGAAAGAAAAACCAATTTTTTTTTGTTTCATTTTCACAATTTCATATCAATTCGGTTGATTTGTGTTTTCCTTTCGTTTCATTCACAATTTCGGTTCATCATTTGATTTCGATCCATCATTTTTGCGTTTGCCAGCTCTTATTCATTTAACCAGTTGAATTCAGTGTTCACTTGGCTTCACTTTGAAATGGCGGAATGGATTTATATACATTGTTTCTAGTGACACATGAGATTTTCAGCCTCTGTTCGCATTAGTTGGCGCTGTTTCCAAAATTCTTGTTTTTCTTTCTGACCAAAAAAACAGACAACGTAACGTTGATGGAAAAACATCATTCTTTTTCTGTTTCATCGTTGCATTTATTTACAAACTAATTTTTGCACACAAATTTCGGTTTCTTTTGTTTTGATTTTCAAGAAGACACAAATTTGTAACTATTTTTCCCTATTGTATATAAAATGCAAGCATTTCAAACAGACAAGACAAAAGTTGAAAAAAAACCCATTTAAATTAAACAGAAAACAAAACACAATTGATTTATTTACAAAATCCAAAATGCAATTAATGACATAATTGTACAGATGGGTGGACTATCTGATTAAGATTTATTAATCTTAATCAAACACCCAAAATTCGCGATGATTAATACGACCACTTAATCGCTATTAATCATGATCATTGTGCAATCGACTAATCAATCATATCGAAAAAAATTCGAGGAAAAAGTTTCATACAAAAAACATGTCTGGCAAAAATCTTATTTTTCTCCCAAAAAATGAAATCTCAGAAAGTTTGAAGCCAATCGTAGTCGATTTACGGGTACCCCCCATACAAAAGTGTCAATTTTTTGAGTTTTTTCTTAGGGCAAGTACCCCAGGATCAAATCGAAAATGGCTCATGTTCGAACTTAAACTAAGTTTTTTGAATACAAAACTTTTGGCATTTCTAGATTGTCGTTGGTGTTTGTTAACACGATAACTCAAAAAATAATTGAGATAATCAAAATCTGGAAATGCCAAAAGTTTTGTATCCAAAAAACGTAGTATAAGTTTGAAGATGAGCCATTTTCGATTTGACCCTGGGGTACTTGCCCTAAGAAAAACCTCAAAAATTAACACTTTTGTATGGGAGGTACCCGTAAATCGACTCCGATTGGCTTCAAACTTTCTGGGATTTTATTTTTTGGGAGAAAGTTTGAAACCAATTCTGAAAGTTTGAAACCAATCGGAGTCGATTTACGGGTACCTCCCATACAAATTTTTTGAAATTTTGACTAAAATTACCGATTTTTGGACAATTTTGTATGGGAGGTACGCGTAAATCGATTCCGATTGGCTTCAAACTTTCTGAGGTTTCATTTTTTGGAGAAAAAATAAGATCGAAAATGGCTCATCTTCGAACTTAAACTAAGTTTTTCGGATACAAAACTTTTGGGACTTTCAGATTTTGATTATCTTAATTATTTTTTGAGTTATCGTGTTAACACACACCAACGACAACGACAACGACAAAGACAACGACAACGACAACGACGGCACACGAACGGAAAAGTGTCTCAAAAAGTGGTTTTCTATGCGTTTCATGAGTTTTTATGATGATCTAAGCTAATTTTGCGAAAAAAGTTTTCGGGACCAATTCCTACACTTTCCCTTGACACGATGTGTACGGAAAAGTAAAATAAAAAGAATTACATTGGTAATCCCGAACTTTTCCGTACCGTTGGCCTGCGTTGCTGTAGGTACTTTTGGTTATTTTTTGTGAATTTTCTTGAATTAAAGGCAGCGAAAATATAAAAATAAAAATAAAGTGAAAAATCGGTCACTTTAACTAAAACTTCGACAATTTTGTATGAGAGGTACCCGTAAACCGATTCCTATTGGCTTCAAACTTTCTGAGGTTTCATTTTTTGGAGAAAAAATAAGATTCTGAAAGTTTCATGTTGATCGCATTTGCAGAAGTTTGGTTTTTGGCCCTCAATTTATTCCAAGAAAATTTCGACAAAAATTGAGGACAAAAAATCAAACTTCTACAAATGCGATCAACATGAAACTTTCAGAATCTTATTTTTCTCCCAAAAAATGAAATCCCAGAAAGTTTGAAGCCAATCGGAGTCGATTTACAGGTACCTCCCATACAAAAGTGTCAATTTTTTGAGGTTTTTCTCAGGGCAAGTACCCCAGGATCAAATCGAAAATGGCTCATCTTCGAACTTAAACTAAGTTTTTCGAATACAAAACTTTTGGCGTTTCCAGATTTTGATTATCTCAATTATTTTTTGAGTTATCGTGTTAACACACACCAACGACGACGACGGCACACGAACGGAAAAGTGTCTCAAAAAGTGGTTTTCTACGCGTTTCATGAGTTTTTATGATGATCTAAACCAATTTTGCGAAAAAAGTTTTCGGGACCAATTCCTATACTTTCCCTTGACATGTTGTGTACGGAAAAGTAATAAAAATCAAAATACATTCAATTCACCATGACCTTGATTTAAGAATTTATTTTTTGAAAAATTCCCATTTATTTTCTCCCCTCAATCACCAATTTCACTAATTGATTTCATTTTCGTTCACATTTAGTCGCCGATCGTTGTATGGAAAATGAAAGCACCGGAAAAGAAGCCACTTGTATGTCCCGAGGAACCGGAAGAAGTTCGAGCCAAAGTAAGGAAAGGATCGCAAAAGAAAGTTCAAAATCCAATTCACGCCCTGTCGGAATTCCAGCGCCCAAACGATGCCGTTTAAGCACATTAAATTTATAGAAATGACTTTCGTTATTAAGCAATGAGATGGAAAAAAGAAGAAGGAAAAAAACCATAATTAGCAACCACTTAT